GGTATACTTTGCTTCTACTATAACTGAAAATTTCCTTCAATAATTCTATGAAATTAGGGTTTAATTCTCGATCGTTTTGTCCTTGTCAACAAATTAGGGTATGCAAATCTATATAGTAGTAGGGATCTGTATTTCTGTTCACCTCTGTTCCAATTGTGTTTGTGTGAATTCCTTTTCCTGCTAGTATCACATGCTATGTGTTTTTAATTTTATTTTTTTTTATGAATTTGTATTACAATTGTATTATTTTTTTGAGATTTATGAATATTATTATAATGAAATTTTGATTCGTTAAGGCCCTTTGTTTCAACTTTTAGGTGGTCCCAATGAGAGGTTATTCACACTTTAAAGCAAGAAAACACTTGAAAGTTTTAAGTTGAGGACAGTTAATGTCATTTTTTCTAATATATTTTTTATTATTAAGCTGAAATTTTAATTAAATTATAAAATTATGATACGATGAAACTCAATTGAGTTGACTTAAAATACTAAAACAATAATTTCAGCTAATTTTTTAATTAAATTGTGATTTTGTACAAATTAAAACAAAATCAGTTTTAAAATCCAATATATATTGGCACAAATTGACATAACTAAAAAAAGTCTGATAATTTTTTAAATTTTTTTTAACTATAAATAATTTTTACAATTTTTCAAATGAATAAAATTATTATAACTTATCTATTATTTATGGATCAAGATTTCCTCATGTTACATGAATCTTCATGTTTTGTATTCTTGTATTTTTGTTTAAGCGAATAATTTTTCGTTTAAGTAAAAATATAAAAATACAGGCACATGAAAGTTATGTTTACTCCAAAACATGAGGGATTTTGGCTATTTTTCTTGCACGTCAGTTTTTATTAACACAAATAATTGTATTCAAATATTATGTATACATATTACATATTCATGAATAGTACTGTATTTTATATGCAAAAATTGGTTTCATGCGGATGATATTAATGCTTCTTCTAAACGAACATTCATTAATTGTTAAATACAAGATTAGCAAAATCACTAGTGTGCCAATTAGCAAAAATGCTTAATTTTCTTTTACTATACAAAACTGTTAGCACAACTACTCATTTTCACTCAAGAAAGTTCATATATTTCCATGTTGATAATAGCCATCAGTTTAACATTTTGGTTCACACTTTGGACAACTTGGAAAGATGCAAACCAATTATTTAATGCAGTCAGAAAACATATTGAAAGTCTTTTGTTTTTAATCATAGTATAAGTAAATGTGATTTCAATTTATTTGTAGGGATTCAAAATAAGGGACAATGAAGTATGGTCTAAAAGAGAAAACAAAAGGCGATTTGGATTTGCATGCACCCAAATGCATAAGAAAAAAGAGTGGGACAAGACGGACAGATCTAAACCGACCAATGGAAACATGTCCGTGTTTAAACGAAATTCAAGACGAAAATGACCATTCATTTCGGCAAAATCAATGTGGCTTCTTTCTTTCGGTGTAGTGTACACATCACTCGGGTGAGTTGAATTCTCCCTTCACCTTCCCCCTCATGGATACTACCATGCATGCAGGCCCTGATTTAGAAATTGACTATTGAGAGGTCCTAATACTTTTTAACTCATTTGTTCTTTTTATTGGAACTTTGCTTTTAACTTTGACAGCAATAAATACTTTCATGGTTAATTTTGATAATTAATTTGTTCAATTTTTTTAGCATATTATCTGTCTATATATCATTTGAAAAAATATGTCGCATCCGATTCGTTACATGTGAGTGAAGGATGTGGAATATCAGCAAATCTCAATTTTTCATGTTAAAGATGACAATTGGGCTTAATATCACAATTCAATCTTTATTTACTGAACAGCTAATTTATTTATGTATAAAGTCAATCCAATTTATTTAATAAAAATTTAAATTTTAATATATAAGTTAAATTAGCTCATCGTTGTTATAACTATTAGATATAATGAATCATGCGACATATATATTTTGCAATTCATATAATAAAGTTAGCCATAAATTTTTTAAAGGACAGTCTTCGAGTCTAACGTAATGTTTACTAAACTTTTATTTATAAAAATATTTATTATAAAGAATATAATATAAATTAAATGATTATATTATTTATTAATTCATTAAAAATATTTAATAAATGATCTAGATTTTTTTTTATTAAATAAGTTACAAATTGTTTAAAATTTTCAATATATTTTAACAAGTCATAAAAAATTAATATTTTTTATTATAATTCAATTTAAAATTGATCTAATTCATTCATTTAATACTTTTAAGGTAAGTTTAATGGATATTCATAAAAATTATCTACAAACAGTTTACTTATCAAATGACTCTAAGTTTAAATATAAATGATTATGTCCATAAAATTTGACAAATATAATGTGGATAATATACGGTAATAAACCATCTCATATCACACTTATTATAAATGCATAGACACACGTATACATCTCCGCGTATATATATATAAAATTGTATAATTAAGATTTAAAAGAAAATTTAAATTGTGTTAGATGTTATAATTTTAATTAATATTTTTTATTTTATTAATTTTATAATTAATTTTAATATTAAAGTGTTATTGTTTACTTTTTAGTTTGTAAAAAAATACACCAAGATATTTAATTTAAGTAAATATGAGTAAAAAGTCAAACTCTATAAGTATCCATATAAGCATGTATCAGAATGGTTACTTATCCAAATATTATTTTTTCTTTAATCAATGAGTATTGGCATGATGCTTTAATATCTTATTCAGATTTTATTGATCTCCATTTTAACTTACGTTGTCACGAACAAAGTTTTACACTGCTATTTAATTATGTACAAACGTATCAATAAAAAGTTGTTAATTTATATAATAATTAATCTAAATAATTTTATATTTTTATTTTATTTCAAACTAGCAAATGGCATGGGTGGAATGCAAACAAAGCAGAGACTTTAATTATATAATTTATTAAATCTGACGAGCACCATGATCCAAGGAATTGGTCAAGTGATAATCCTTATTATATGATTTGTAAATAGATACAAGATGACAAGCTGAAATTCTATTAATTATGTCAATTACTATTTGCAGTGATACATGGCCTATAAACCTTTAACAAAACTAAAAGGATTAGCTGAAGTATAGACAACCTGCATCGAATATGCCTGAGGCAAATTTAAAAAATAAAATAAAGGGTAGAAAAAGAGAAAAGGGACCACGGATGCAACATAAATGAATGAAAACATGATATGCATACGAGTGTTATGAAAAAGTGGGAAGTGTTGGGAGGCCCCTTTGGCATTTGTTCTTGCAATGCAAGCAGTTACCATTCCTACCCACCAAATTTCTTTTACTGGTCTGGTCTTGTTCACTTCTGTCCTTATTAGTTCCTCTGCAAACCTACGTTACATCTTTGTCACACACAAACACGCACTCTCTCTCTCTTTCTCTCTCTGATCACAGTGAATAATGTACGGTTAGTGTGCCTCCCACAGAACTGTTTGCTGAAGTTTCATGCATAGGTACTGTGTGTCTTTTGTGAATCAGACGAGTGGAATGGAGTTGTATGAGAGAGGGATGAGGTTGAGAAGTGTGATTATGTGATGAGTATATATGATAATAGATACAATACAAAACTAAATCTCTTGTCTGAGAAAAATCTCTGCCTGCAAAAAAAAAAAGGGTGTCAAATGGATGTAATAGGTAGCAATAGGTGTAAAGGGCTAGGGCAATAGGGGTCTAATGTGAAACCTAGGGGCCTTAGGGTTCAGCCTGAGGGATCACTCTTTAGCCCTGTGTGGTCAATAGAGTAGAGTAGAGTGCATGTATTGTGTAGGTCATGGTGTCCCGGAATGCCAACAAGAATGTTTTGGTTCTTCAGACTCACTTTGTATGTGGCCCTGCCACCCAGCTCTTTTGGTGCCCTCATAACCAATCATGCTTCACCTTGCCTCCCCTTTCAAATACTAGTGCATCTCCCCATGTCTCTCTTTTTAAAATCTAATTTCTACCATACCTTAATTCATGAGAACCTTTTGTTGTTTTCATCTGAATTTACGATGAATTTTTGCCTTTTGTACAGGTCCTTTAATTATATAATAAATATAATACGATAGATTAAAAAAATGTAGAATGGATATATATTTCATTCAATGATAACTAATGCTTGTAAACGATATATTAAAAAATGGGTTATAGCACACAGATTAATAAGAAATTATTATTTATTGATATTTTATATATTGCTGTTTCTTTCTTGTTTTCAATAATAGTATAATTGGAAAATACTAGTCAATATTATCTTAAAGTTTTAAACTGATAGATAAATATTATTTTCAAAAGTAATAGATAAAAAAAAAAGATGATCATAAATAAAACTCACTAAATGATAGGTGAGACTCATCATTTAGTGAATCTACGTGAATTTACCTCAATAGATAACTTGGCTGTGCAAGTCGTTGAGCAGTTACTTGCCAGAAAGTTAATTCTTATACACACACCCGTGTTGTTTGATGGTATAAGTTTTCAAAATATTAACAGTTTGAATCTATAATAAAAATGCTTTTAACAATTTCAATTGTGCTCCGTTTCTGATTTTCCAGGTAAATTTTAGAATCTCAATTTCTGGAAGACACAAGAATTGTTAAGTGGATCTTTTGTTTTTCCAATTTTCATTTAGACTAGGCAATACAGCCTATAAGCTGATTAGGTTCCCTCAATGATTGAAGACCATTTCGAGCATATCTTTACTGGCGTTTAACTTTGCTCATGTTAGATTGGGCTTCGATACAGTAGGCCGATAAATGATATGATCATTCTCCCAAGAGACGTATATTAGCTTTAACTATTTTGCCTTTAAAGAAACAAACCAATCACGCAGGGAAGTTCTGTTAACTCGCCCCATGTTAAACAGGGAACACAACACCTAATATGCATGAGATGATAAGTATTATAGTTCGGAAATGCACGCAATTATTTCCTGTGTAAAACAGATGTTTAAATTACTGTAGAAAAAATAACATCTTTCAATTCTTGACACACGAAAGTAAGAATCAGGACAGATTTAGATAAGTTCAGACTCTTCAGCATTCCTTTCAGTTACAATGATATACATGTATTAATTATCAAAATGTACAATGCAAACGGCATAATTGTTATTACTTATAATCACTTCATGAAACCTTTACCTCAGGAACAAAGAACATATTTTTCTCCTTTGACATGTAGGTCTTAACATTGTTTCAACATCAAGATCCATGGCAACATTTCATCGATTTACCGTTTGAGCACTATGAAGATTTACCTTCCAGCTTCAATGATCCAAAATTACTCTGTACTAGTGCAGCAGCATCGCGAGCAGCTGCAGATGCACGATTCGCAGAAGCAATGGCAGCTCGTGCCTTCTCCAATACATCAGAGGATTGGAATGTCGTCTTACTTGTAGCATCTCTAATGGGGATATCGTTACTTTTGTGTGACTGTTCAATTTCATCAGTATTCAACCATGAATTATTGTTAGAAGGACTGGGAGCTTCAAGGTGTTTATATTCTTGTTTATCATCCACAGACTTAACTGAAGGTTCCGTAATACAAGGTGATGAATTATTAAAACCCTTTTCGCTGGGAGTATGAGAAAGTGCAGCTCCAGCACCAACTTGCTTCGCTCCTCCCTGCAGGTAACATGAGAAAATCGTAACAAAAGTTAGGAAAAACACAGCAAATTCCTGATACCACAGTAGATAAGTAGACAACAAACAGTAATAGCTTGAAAATTCTTGAATCAGAAATTCATAACCACCAGTTGAAATGTGTAAAGCATAACACGTAGGTCAGTAAATTCATCATTTATTAGCGAGTGGGTACCCTTGCCAAGTTATGAGATAAGATGGACGTGTATATTTAACTCATAAATATATCAAAGGAGCCCTGAGACACTGTAAACCCACATTGATTATGTTACTGACAGAAGACAAATCAACAGAACTAAGCAGTGGGAACAAGTTGACTAAAAAAAATATTAAAATAAATAAAGAAAATAATAACAATACATGAACCCTCCATGTAAACAATTTTATCCCTCAATCATGTATATGAAAAGGAAATCACCCAACTCCATTAAACAAGCTATGTTTGAAGAGTCCAGGAACATGATCTAAAAGTAACATTAATATGCTAGAAAAATAGATGACAAAAGAGATCAAGTCAAAATCTCCTGCATTTAGGGAATATCCTGTCTATAAAGCCGCCTATATTGCGCTTTGTTTCAAATCTTTACATAGTCAGTCCCAAGTCTGAATTAAAGGTGAGAATTGTTTTGGTCAACAACCCATGTAAACTATGTCAAATCTCTGACATTCATGGAATTTTCAAATTAAAGATAAAAGCCCTGCAAATGTGGGAGGAAATTTGAGAAATATACTCTCAACAGCTAAGTTGCTTCTCAATGCTCAAGGTAGAATGGTCACATAAAGAGCTAAGTACCCTAAGGTTAGGATGAAATTTGCAATAATTGCTGGGGACAGAGTCAGCCAGTGTGGGGATAAAAGTGGTTGCAGAATCATTAGAGTTAGACAAGTGAGGACTTATTATAAAGATGATATATACTATCAATGATAGATGTATGATATCACATGGATCTAGTAGTGGATAATATTCTAATGTCCAACAATGAATGAAGACCGTCAAGAAATATCCAATGATAAAATTACCAGGAGATCTTCATGGTTTTTCTTAAATTCTGCCTCAGTTTTAGAGGAATCCCATGCTAGACTGTATTCTTCTGCAATCTCCCTCAAGACCTTGAGTTTCACCTCTCCTGATGGAGCACTAACTGAAAGCTTCTCAATGATCTGAAATAATAATACCAAAAAAACAGATGGACTAATGATAGTAAGCAATCATTCAGAAGCTGCAATTGTTTGCTACTCAGAGCTGCAATTAAAGATAAATCACCATGCGGTTAACGCCTGAATCAGGACGGAGTTCAGATACTGCAGAGACAAAATCTTTCCCATATTTAGTGGTAAACAAGTTCTTGATGTGCAATAAGTCTGGTATGTCTGAACATCTAGGAGCAGCAAAAATTATACTTGCGATGGCTTCTTGCAATTCCGAAGGGCACTCCCTATTATGTGGAGAAGGAAGGCTTAAAGTTTGACTAAAAAAACAGTTTGCTGTAAATTGTACAAGAAATTGTGCAACTATTTGAGAACTCAATTCAATACTGAAAATGAATATTCCAACTAAAAGTGATTTAGTATGGTTTAAAATAAATACCTACTAAATTGAAATGAGTGAAAGAGAATTGAAAACATTGAATGCATGTGAGATCCCTGGATGCTTTTAGCAGCAATTATTTATTTAGTTGCTAATAGTTTCCTTTAATAAATTTGCAGTAACAAATGTCGTTTCAAGCATCGTATATTCAATACTGCAGTTAGAATTGTCACATATTTCAGCATGGCTAGGTCAATATACACACACAACATGAATATGTTACACAAGTAAAGATAAATTATACTGTTCCTACCTAAGTTTTGTCCAAATCAATTTTGGTGAACCATGTATAAACTTATGTTTTACCCCATTTATGTTCAGACACATCTTACCCCCTTTAAATATCCTCAAAGATTCAGAAACACTGTAATTAAAAATAATTTAGTTTCAACTGACAACAGAGAGCTCATCTAACAAGCCTGTTATTTTTACCTTCTCCAAAAAAATTGTGAACTGAGTGCACGCCTTTTGCATTGTTCTGTTACATATATTATTGAAAAAAAGCAAATAAAAATATTTTGAAGCAAGAAGATCCAGAAAGTAAATGACCCTGTTTCAAATTTTTGAAAAATAGCATAAAAAACTTCATCAGGTTATAATTATAATTTAACAGAAATTTGTGGATACAAGAAAAACCACAATCTGATTTGCCCGAGTACTGAACTTCATGTGTGTTAATCAACTAGATAATAATACACAGTATGTTCAATTAGAACAAATTCTTATGACTTGTGGACTTACCTCTGGTTCTCTATTATAGGTACACGTGCAAGAACAAATTCACAGAATAACTCCAATATTTCATATGCAGCCCATATATTTTGTTCTCGTATGATATGCTCCACCTATTAAAATCAAAGCAATTTACAAACAGCAAGTCACCACATGGAGGAAAAGATGGAGAAACTAGCAGCCATCCAGCAAGATTTGAAGGATTACCCGAATTCTAGCAATTGGCTCTTGGCCAGCCTGCAAGAATTGAGCTATTTCCTTGCGCATTTGTTTCAGTTGCCCATCTCTCTTGTTCTGTAGCAGCTTAATGCGTGAAATTGCTAGGTTCAGGCATGTTTTACTACAAGATGAAAAATATCGAATAACAGCATGTTTACTAGTACTACAGATTGAAATAGAATCCAGAGAACAATCTGCATAGAACATTCATTCAAATCCAAAATATAAAACAACCTTATTCCCCAATTACACTAAGACAGTTATGGAAACCATCCATCTAGCGAGGGTCCCTGCTCTTTCACCACAATAGCTCACTCACTGCCCCAATACCCCAAAATCTGGCCATACACATTATATATAACTCAAAATATCCTTTCAGGTTTTACAAAAGTAAACAAAACCTAGATAAAGACTCAAAATTGGAATTGAATTTGCCACAATAAACACTTAAGTTATTATTTGATCAAGCGTACGATAAGAAAAAAGATTGAGACTAAATTGAGAAACCTAAAATCGGGTAATCTACAAACACAATGCCCTGCACAATCCCAAAACCTAAAATCGGGAACGAAGACAGTATTATGATCAGAAAGCGTAAATCGTTGAAAAAATGGAATTGAATGAAGCAGAAAAGGGAAAGGGAAATTACCACCGAGTGCCGAAAACGCCTCTGCTAAAGAGCTGATTAAGAAGTGACATAGTGATTTAGATGCCACTGCGTGTGCGAGGAAGTAACAAAATAACTGCTACCGCACTTGTTTCTTTGCCCTTCAATTATATATCCCCTCCACTAATCTATCTATTTTCGTTTTTAACTTATCCTTAATTTTTTTAAAATTAAAAGTTTGGTTGAATCTATCGTCTCTTTTATATTTTCAATATTTTGTGTATTTTTAAAATATAATAATATAAGTTATTGTAATCGTTACATATGATCTCAAAAGAAAATTATTGTCGTTACTAAATAGATATAACAATTTTAAATTTTAATAAATAAATTATATTAAATATTTAGAGAAAGAGCTTCCTGTTTTTTTATAAAATTCCTTTAAGACTTATCACAAAATTTATAAAATATATAATTATTATTATTTTTTTAATAAAGATAACTTACTGTAATAATTTTTTTATCTTGTGTTTGGAGTACTTTTTTTACAAAAATTTAAATCATAAATATATATATTTAATTTAACTTATGTAAAATTTTGAGTTCAAATTTTATATATTAAAATTTTTTCATTAAAAGAGTTAATCCATTACATGAATATTTTCAACTCAAGCAAAATTTTCGTTTGTGGAGAATACGTTTAGACAAAATAAAATGCATAATTTTTATAAATAAATAATTTGAGAAAAATAAAAATGAAAACTTTGAATTACCAGAGGAACATAACATTTTATCGGGTAATGAAACTTTATTACTTGTGTAACTTCACAATAAAGGGAACGAATAAACTACATTTTGTTTGAAATTTCAGTAAGCAAATTATAAGATTAAACTCGTAGATGGGCTATTGATAAAGTAGAAACATAAATTGACATGTACATCAAACTAAAGTGAACCATATCTGTTCTCTACAAGATCAAAAAATCTCTTGGGGAGGCCATCAATACCATACTTAAATCAAATATGCTACTAGATATGAACATCATTTAACTGAGCATCTAAATTCAAGCCATGAGATAATGTCATTATGGACAACCAAAATTCTTTCATCAGATTCCCCTTCCAAAATGCCGTGGTAACTTCCTTCATATATCTTTAGTGTCTTATCCTTACTAGAGGCTTTCTCATAAAGAAATTGGCTCACTAGTGGATCCGTCACCTTGTCTTCTGCTCCATGAAGAATCAATAATGGAGCTGAAACCTTCAACGCCCCCAAGAAAAATAAATGTTATCGGTTGATATGACAATATTTCCATACACAAAACACATAACCATGGCAGAAATCCAAGTTAGATTCTACAAAATAAAGTAACAGAAAGTGAGCAAAAGCAAAACCTAACCTTATGTAATTGTGACTCGATATCTTGAGTGGCATTTAAAAGTTCCATGCCAGTTTTCAATCGTGTTCGATCATCATAAGAAATTACATTGTAAACGGCCTATGAGAGAAAGAATTAACTTCTCCAATTAGCTTGGTTGGTATATAATATACAGTGTGTAAATTTTCAAGGACACATTTTTCATCCAATTCTTTGAAAGTTAACAACAAATTCAATAATGATAGAACATACTGTGGATTAAGTCATGTTGAAGCTTGTTCATTCATGCATTTGAAGCCACAACATAAGAATGTCAAAATGTTTGCTAAAGCCTAAACCGTGTGCGTGCAACTCATAAGTATGTGTGTGGTTGACTCAAAACTCATTTTATCATGTTAAGCTGGTGACCATCATGTGTATTAGTTAAGATAAATGCTGAAAGATTAAGTATGACCGTCAATGATGTGAAAATTTGACAGTGCGATAATATGGGTATAGTGAAGCGTAAATGATAATTTATGACCTTAATCATAGAGTAAATGCAAAACATTTTATTTAAAAAATGGCATGATACAGAAGGACACCGGTTGATCATATCACTTTGTAAGCATTGAAGAATTAGGGGTTGACAAAGTTACCAACCACTTTTCTCTTGCCAGGTTCTCGGAAAATCAGCTCAGATAGATCTTTGTGTGGGAACAGTTTTGCCTTTGGCATAACGTTAGACAAAAGAGTCAATACCTTCAAAACTGTCTTTGATGGTAACATGCCCTCTGCAATCTTATCACCAAAACAAGACAACAAATCAAGCTTTATCTGACAGATATGCTAATAAAACCATGCAAGACAATTCTCCAAATGACGGATGGTTACTTTTCCCATAGATTGATCTTGGACTCCTTCCAATGTTGACTTGGACAAAAGTCTCCTCTTAATAGGCATTTTTAAGACATGAATTTATTCTTGAAATTCATTATAAATATGAGATACCGAACATTGAATCCCAATTATCGAAAAAACAAAACCACAAACATAAATGATAAATAAAACAGACTTTTAAATCAGCTCCACTCATAATTGGATCACAAAATTCTATTATATATATTATGTTTTTGTTGTATTTCAATACTGACAATGCCTGTGGAACTAGGGTCTATCTGTTCCATATTGGCGAGAGCCATTGCTAGCTTGTATTGACTATGGTTGTCATGTCTCAAACAGAATTTCAGTTACAACAATGGTTAGTGTCAATATATATTTTTTGCATGAAAACTTCTAGCTTAGAAAAGTAGAAAACTAAAATGAAGCTTAGAGATGAGAGAAAGACATGATGAAAACTTAATTATTCAGTGCTCTCAAAGCAATAAATGAATCAGAACTTGAAAATTATAATAATGAAGCTGGGGACATCACAAGTGCAACACACAGGAATAGACATACTTTACACATTGGTGCTACAAGGATTACTCCATCCCAATTGTTTGGTTCCTTTAAATGAAGTTTAAGAGCAATTGCTCCACCCATTGACTGTCCCAATATAAATCGAGGCAACTCTCTCACCTCAGGCCTTGCTGTCAATTGAAATATAAAGCATGCATGGTCATCAAGACATCAACAATACAACATTCTCAATTTTCACAAATAAAAGATTACATCAATGATCCACATGACATCACAAATGCTAAAATGCCATACCTTTTATTTTAGTATAATGTTCCCTAACATCATCTACCAAATCATCAAAACTTGGTATGTAACCATGTAATCCTTCGGACAGACCGAAACCTGGATAGTCCATAGCATAAACTACATAACCAGAAGCAGCTATTCGTTTGGCAATACCTGAACAAAAATTTCAAATCCCTCCTTACCACATTTGATAGATTTCTATCTTTGTTATAAATTGACAGCACAACATACTACAGAGGGCAACTTAGCTACTTCTTGAAATAGAATTAGGTTTAAATACGCTTTTGATCCCTCTAAATATCACAAAAATACACTTTTGATTTATCGTTTTCAATAAGTCGTAATTTCCTCATCGTAATTCTTGTGCATTCCTATATAGTCACTTTATCAATCATTCACTTGTTTTGTATTACAGTGCTATGCATCTCTTAAGAATGAAGACTATGAAAAACTTATGATCTTTAAAAGAGTCAAAAAGAAAATTTAGGATATTTAAAGGACCAAATATAATAACACTCAATAAACCAAGAACCATATGAAGGAAAAAATTAAGATAATTAAATTAAAAAGAAGAAAGTAAATAAAAAACATGAAAAACATATTTAAGCCTCGAAAATAAAAATGACAAACCTTCAAAGAAGAAAGTACAAGTACTGCCATACCCATGGCAGAAACACAAAGCTGCCTTGATAGGAACGCCGAGTGGTGGCACCCAGCTTTTGCAGAAAATTTCCAATCCCCTGGAATTCCTTTCGTACCACTGATAAACAAATAACAAAATTGATCATATTTTTCACCAAATTACGAAAGATGCTAATTAGAGATAAAGCAAAAGAAGAAAGGGCTTACTTCTTGAGTAGTGATCCCAGGTGGAGCAGTCTAGTATAATTTGGCAATCAAATATTGAAATATCAGTGACTGAATGTTTAAGAATGAGAAAATGTGAAAGATGAAAATAATTAAGAAGGAATGGAAATGAGTAGTACCTTGAATAAAAAGTGATCGAGGTGGTGATGGAGATGGATGAAAGCTTCAGGGGCCCGTCTCCGGGAGGATGCGAAGTCGAGGTTCTGAGAAGCGATGGCGTTCAACTCCTCGCTCACACCTTCAATGGTTGACTTTTTCTTGGCGGTCAACGTCAGCGTGGTCGAAGTGGGTTTTTTGAATATTGGTGAAATGGTTATGACATGATTGGGTTTGGAAGAGGGAAAGGAGCAGAGGGTGTGTGAAAAAGGTAGCTCCATGCTCGCTTCAGCTTAGTGGATTGCGCGAAAACAAAGACACAGGTTTTCTTTTGGAGATGTTCAGCGTTGACTGTAATTAAGCTACCTCGTATTTTAAAGACAATTTTTAAAAAGAAGTATGAATTTATATATATATATATATATTATTTTTATTTTTATCAAAATTCATTATTTGGGCCTGTCTTTTTGGTCAGCTATCATTTGGGTCCTAAGCCATTCGTGGACTCCAAATGGCAGGAGTATTGGATCCAAGCCCATAAATTTTGCCTGGATTGGGCCTAAACTCGCTGGATGTGAATTTCTTCCCTCAAAATCACGACTATGCTCTCTGAAAAGAAACACTGACAAATTTTTTTAAATAGACGTTCCGGAAAGAAACATTTTTAGTCTTTTAGGTGTCATGGAGCAATAAAGTTTTCGATCATTTGATAAATGTTGTTTCAGCTATTTGAAATTTTATCTTTCAACTTGAGTTGTTGTTAATATGTTTCACTTCTTTAATATTTTTAACTGAATAAATACACCTTAAATAATAATTTAAGATCTTTCTCACTCCAAAAACTTTTAAGAAATTTTATCGATAAAAGCTTTTGAAAAAACGCTGAGACAAGAGATTAAGTGATTAAAAAAGAGGAATGAAAAGAGTAAGACAAGAGAGATGAGAAAACAGGAAATTTCAAAGACTGCATATCTTTTATCTATTGGATGAAGGATTAAGTGATACTTACGTTATGGTATTTACACCGTAAGTATTGTAGTAGGTGATACATCAGAATGACAGTTAATAGATTAGTAATTTGCAACTAAGCAATTGATCCTAACTCCTTTACAAATGTTATGTAGCAAATTGTAACATGGAAAATACTCAATTAATTCAAAAATGAACTAATGCTAAAAAAAAAAATGAATTATTGAACAATGTCGTAAGAATTGTAATTTTTTAATGAATATCAAAATAAACAAATCTTCATAATTTTAGTGTAATTCATTATTTATCTTCACTCTATACTTTTGTATAATTATAAAAAAAAATAGAAATTTACATTTTTATTTTGACATATTTTCTTTTTATTATTTTATTAAAAAATAAGAAATTAATAAATAATAATTTTCTTTATGAAAGTTATAATATTTAATATTACGAGTTTATTGAATTTAATAATATCATGTAATTTTTAATAAAATTTTATAAAACATAAATTCTTATCGTGTGTCTTCATATACATGTTAAAATTTTTGAATAAAAACATATAAATGTTAAAGCTAAAAAATTTTAAAAAGTAGTTTAACTGATAAAATATCATTTATCTTCACTCTATACTTTTGTATAATTCATTTAAAAAACATTGATTTAAAAATATCATTTCAATTTGAAATTATTTAGGCACATCATAGCATAATCACTCGAATTCTTAATAACAAATAGAAATGGTAATGGATAAAGTATCTTATAGACACCCGCAAAATTTATCCATAATGGGTGGGGTATTTACCCGCTATATGGGTACAAGTATGAGTGTGGATAAAAATTCGTAAATTTTAATGGAAATGGATACGGGTATGGGTATCTAAATTCCCATCCCGTCCCATACCCGCATATATACATATGCTTGAACTTTATCATACAATTATGCATTGAATTTTTATATTATTATATTACTTATGTGAAATTATATAAGATTAATATAAAAATATATTTAATAATAAAGTAAACCAAAAAATTTATTTTTGTTTATATTTTAATAGAAAATTTTATTTACTATTTTATATCATTTAATTAGACTAATACAATTTAATTATTATATAGTTAATATGAGATTGACTTTTTTTAAAATATTATTTATATATGACACACATAAAATATTTTTCACACAAATATTTTTGTCAGTAAAATTATATTGATGTTTAAATCATAAAGTGAATGATAAATAATAAATATTTTATAAAGTTTACAATCACTTACTATTAACTTATTATTTATTAATAATATTTAAATTTTATTTTTTATATTTTAATTTAAAATAATATTTTTCTATACAACATATGTATTACAAGCACAACTATAATCTATTGAATCTAAATAATATTATTTTTACTATTTATTCACGTTCAAAGAAGTTTTCGAAAAGATATAAATATAAAAAATTATTGTTAATTTTTATTTGTTAATTTTTTTCAGATAAAAAGTATAATTTTTTTGGTATACACGTATATTTCTTTATTATAAAATTTTATTGTGACCATTTATATTTTATTCAAATTATTTCTTTTAAAATTTATATACATTATAAATATTTAATTCATTAAAATAATTTTTTAAAAAATTTGTATTTTTGATAAAATACTTTCGTATAGTATATGAGTTAAAATATTAGTATTAATATATATATATTATATTATTTTAATTAAATCTATTATTTTTTTTACAATTTCAAATTCAAGAGTTAAAAAAAATATTTTATGTATCCACTTTCTGTTGTTAGTATTGAACTTTTCTACTCTAACTCTATTTTCATTTTCAATGTCTGTCTCATTAAAATCTAACAATTATGAAACGTTATTCATTATAGTTAATTTTCAATGCCGTCACAAGAGGTCCCCACACAAAGGGACAACCATTGTGCAGATCTATTTCGTTGTCACTCTAACATTGTCAATTGATCAAATCTCACACAAGATAGGGTTATCACGGACAAATAACTTGTATGTTTAGTTTTGCTTATTGTTTCTAAAAATTTTAGTTTAAAAAATTATTATATTAAGATACATTTAACATTTATGATATTTGAATATTTATTTTTTATTTATGTTTGTACCTTGTTCGACAACTATATATTAATTTTTTGTATTATTATGCTATTTATGTGAAGTAATACAAACATATTTTTCTTTATAAATATTTTTTTCTCAAACAAGAACGGATAATGGGTATAAGATGGATATGCGAGTACTCAGAGAATACAAGTCTGAGGATTAATATTTATACTCACGCAGTTATGGAGTCGGATACAAGTATTTTTTAAACATAGGTATGAGAATGAGTAATATATTACTCTACTTGCCCATACCCTACCCATTGCAATCTTTAATAACAAATTTTCTTCAAATGAGTTACTGAATGTTACTGCTCATCACCATTTAACGAGGCACATTTCCGTATATCGGCTCAACAACTCAATAGTCGTTCATTAATTATAATTTCTTCAATAATTGTTTAGCTAATCTTTTGTTTCTGTTTTTATCAATGTTGTTTAGCTAATCTGAAACCATCGGTTTTAATGCTACTGTTTTCCTGGGCCAACAAGGGACGTCCACAGCATCCAATAAATGTCTCAATGAGCTCATCAAGAAATCACATTAATTAATTGGCCAAACACTATATTCTTATTAATAATTACTCCAAGGCAATAAGTTTACGAGTCACATCAGTTTATATGGTACGAATCATTCATTCATTCTTATCTAACGAACCTCTTCACTCACATCATCATACTACACTCACTTAATTTCCTAACGATTTATGCCATTGCATAATCTTAGCTTAGGATGCATGGCCCACTTGTGAGGCAAAATCTTAAGAGGGAACTTCGTGCTTTTCTCAAGTGCCCGAAAGGTCTTACGCAAGATACCGCAAGGTTTTTGGAAGCAAAGGGACTGGTCTGCAAGAAGCTATATTGCTTGGCCATTCATTTTTTCTCCTCAACTGTATGCATGTTTGTAGTTGTAGGAACTTCCAAAATTGTCTACTTTAGGTATTACACTTTCTTTCAACCTTTGATCGATCTTTCATTTCTTTAGCCTTGTTTTTGGGTTTGTCTGTCCCTATTTATTAGTATTTTGGAAGCTTCCTTGCCCTTTTACTATAGTCGACAACATGTTCTCACTTGAAATTGAGGCGAAACCTAACCTGTCTTTCGCACAACCTTTAAATAAATTAATCTCATTAATTTGATTCGCTTAACTATTGGCATCTCATTTTTGAGGCATTCTACGTTACATGGCTTTAGATTCTAGATTTGTTTGAGTGGCTGCATCGATCCCCAGTAAACCAAACCAATTCTGTGTCATGCCACTGATGGGTAATGCGAGTAAAGTGCATAGAAATATGTTCTCCACTCGTTAATTATTAGACATCATACTCGTGGAACATCTAACCTCGACCGTCGAAGCAACCCATACATCATATTTGGTATGAATTCACTTCAGTTGAATTTAAATTTTGCATGTAATATTTTTTAATGTATTCCAAGAAATCTAACGGCGGCTGCGAGAGACGAGCATGCACAAACTAGAAAGCCAAAAATAACTGTTTTAAGCCACAAATGCTACTTGTTCATTAAAAGAACTTTTCTTTAGTATGTATCAACGTATCATTATTAATATTTGAAGGTTAATTTCTTCTAAAGTATAAAGATTATTAATATAAATTTTACCTCATCCAACGAAGTCCTTCTTATAAACATAGATAAAACTTAAATTTTAATTAACATAATTGAAAGATGTAATTAATTTTTAACTAGTAAGTTTTCATCCATTGTACAAATATTAGTAAATTATTTTTAAAAAAATAAAAATTTAAAGATACACGGTATGATCGTTTTTATTTTAATTGATTTATAATTTTTAAAAGTAATGTTTTATTATTAATAATAATACTTTATTATATAAAATAAAATATGTAAAAGATGTAATTAAAAAATATCAAAAATTTAAATTTAAAATTAAAAAATTAAGTGTTTTAAAAAGGGACATGTAATAATTATAAAAAAACTAAATCTTAAAAATTCTCTTATTTATCATAACTTTTAAAAATAATCGCTTTTAAAACAAGTACTCTCACATTTTATATACATAGATAAATTATGTCAAATTCTATTGATAAATATTATATTATTTTTATACTATATTTTTTTGTTAAAATATAAAATTATATATATAAATGAAGGAAGTCCTTTTCTTCGACTCTATTTTCTCAATCCCTCTTTTTATGCAGTTCTTTA